ATACCAGTAATAGGTACCAAAGGAATAAAATATACGTTGAAAATCATTTTTCAACAGCAGTAAAATAATGTATGTACATATTTTAGAAGGAACTGTAAACAATGAACTAGCAAAATCTAGCAAATTCGTAAAAACATTTTTAGAGTTAAAAGTATAGGAAAATGAACAAGGAAATTCTAAGACACAGTTTAAAAGGCCTCAAAATCCAGAAAATGTTCAATAAGACTTTTATAGTCTTAGAATTATGTGCTGGTGCCTCCCTTTATCAAGAAATTTACCCAAAAATGTAACTACGTAAAATAACTTATTTATACAAGGTATTACTAACAGTATGTTTTTCTTACAATTGTTAGTTCAATGAAAATTCAAAATAGTTGGCTTATCCGACCGGCCAACAAGTTTTAAAATGTAAGCTTGGACTCAAACGTTTTGGGTAAGCAGGTTTTGCTTACTGGAAGTTCGCGTGGAGTCCTAAAGGCAATAAGACAATATTATGAAAATCTTATGAATACAAAGTGATTAATTATCACCGTGATATTTGGTAAATACTAAAAGAGGTCTATATTTGGTAATTGACAACATTGTAAAATAGCAAATCCAAAAACGTTTAAAAAAGAAAAACCACAAATTGCAATTATTTTTTTTTAGACAAATCTATTGACTGGTCCATAATGAATCACTCTGTGATTATTGTATGTTATTCGGTCGCTATGGTTTTGGAGAGAATAGATATAACAATATTTACTATTGCAGCTTATGGTGTTACATTTACATTAGCTTTAAACTATAAGAAAATTGTATTTTTGTATCGTTTTAAGTGGCATAAGTAAACTCATACGATGGACGATATGAAGGACGATCTGAAGGACGTTTTGAAGGATCTAAACGTTATGAAGTTTGCGCCCTCTTTATACAACTTATTGAAACAAATAGTAAGCTATGCGACGACAATTTTTTCATTTACACAACTTAGTTTCATAATAACTATTGGTCTCCTTGGGAAATAAATTGGGGCTGATTAGCTCTACAAGTGCCCAGCTTCTTCATCATAGCGTCCTTATCAAAAGTTTTACTTACATTACTGAAAATATAATGTTGAATCGTTTATCCATTAGCTGACCGGCAGTGGTGCAGTTGCCAACAACAACACTGTTGCCCACAACACCACTACTAAGGAAGCCGAAACTACTCATACGGTGACTAGTGAACCCGTAACGACTCAATACTTGGCTTGGACCGAAGCAATACCTTGGTCAGTAATTTGCGTTTTCCAATTATTGATTATCTTCGCATTGCTCGTTTTCATCGCTTTTAAGATGTATCGTAAATATAACAAGTCCAGCCAATACACGTGCAATTGTGGCTGGTGCAAGAAGAAAAACGAGAGCTGTACCAAGTTCTTGATATTGTAAAAGAAAAATAATGTACTTTAATATGTTATTTGCTTTTTTTAATATTACCTACCTCGTTTCAGAGGGTTGACTAAAATAATTGTACATTAGCCGCACATTTTCAATTACAAAAATTACTTTTCATTGTACTATACTTATTGTAGAATAAAAAAAACATTTGAGAAGTCATAAATGATATTCTAAAATGAATTCCTCTGCTAAATGGTTTTCTTTGTTGTGGTGACTTTTCTTTAATTTGTTAAAACATAATCCAGAATTGTGTTTTTATTATTTTATTATACAACTTAATTGTGAACGGTTTAAATATATACGTTACTAATTAAACTTCAAAAGTTGCCATCATAAACTAATTTGTGAGGGGTAGGAAAATGAAAGTTATTCACACAAGTATTTCTAACTGCTTGCGTACGAGTCAGCAACACCACGGGACACATGTGTATGTATCTAAGGTGGCTAGTAAACAAATCAAGTTTCTGGCTAATATTTTAGTGTTTTCACAATATCTGACCCAAAACAATTCATAAAGAAATTAGCCCCATTATTGAATTTATTATTCATTTCTATTTTGAACGTTGTGAATAGAACATAAATGACCCCCACCCTATTTCCACCCCCAACCTAACCCTCATCTCTAATCTCTTATCTCTTACCCCCTTTCTCCTATATCCTAACACATAAATGTAACATCCCTATCTCCATCCCCATTCCCACCCCAACCTCCTGTCAACCCCCGTTCCCACCCTCATAAGAAGGACGTATAAGTATAAAAGGATATAGAAGGATATATATAAGGATACATTTTCGATGGGGTAAGAGATATGAGATAGGGGGTAAGAGATAGGAGATAGGGGGGAGATAGTGGGTTAGAAGATAGGAGGCGAAATTTATTCGGTAATTCAACGAGACATGAAAATGCTCTTTCGTGGTTTCAGAATCGGCTGAAAAACTTTTTTTTAACGTTACACAATATGTTTACCCTTTTTCAAAAAACAAAAGACTGATTTACCGAATTCGACAAGTTGAATGAAATTTGTTTACCAAAAAGAATTCAGTGCAGTATTGGTATTTGTAGTTTTCAACTGGTAATTCATGTATTACGAATATTTGTACCCTAAATAAAGTACATTTTTTTTGGGGGGGGGGGGGTATTTTTCAACCACTGCCGCTAGAATTCTGAACACAAGAACCCCTTGTTGACCTCTTTCAGAATGGGCTAACTTTGGCTAGTAATAAAACACTATTCGATCGGACCAAGCAGTTCCTGACAAAGCCAACGTGCTGGTCGGCGGAGAGTTCTTATGGGATAGATAATATGATTTTGGTACTTAACTGGAGATACCTGAAAAGTGTTTTGTTTTTGCTGTCAAGGGTAAATACAAATATTCATACACTGGTCGTTGGTGAACTCTGCTGGAGCTACGCCGTTAAGATTTTTAAAAAGTTGTTTTTATCTATTTTATACGTCCCTGGACGACATTATTGTGGATTGCCAGCACACAGTATCATTCATAATATCTCGGTTAACGATGCCGTCATAAGTTTTTGCTGGTATTGGGTACCACTTGGGGCTGTAAAACGGCGGAATGAGTGAAATCCCGGGATAACGGAGCAAAATCTTTACCGGTTTCCATCGCACAAAATAACATATAATATATATATAATATATATATACATAAAGTGAGATAGTCTCCTAACAAAAACTGTAGTTCAAGCTAAAGCCAGAGGTCCTCCGGGATCTCCGGGAATGACATACGGTCCTGTTTGGCTCTAGTACACAATTCATGTGTATTAGCCGCTATTGTTGTACGGGTACGGATTCTTAGGTTGTACTAGGGTATTTTAGATCAAAGACGACGTGACCGTGTAAGTCAATGTAGATAATATCACTATTATTGTAGGCTACTACTATTAACTTGAGTTGGTATACTACAGTCAACATGAGAAATCTGCCTGCATCGTTCTACAACATACCGTACAAACTTAAAGAGGATGTTTGGGGGTGTAGCGTAGTACACGTAAATGTATCAGGTTTTGAAGTTTAAAATACCACCAAAAAGACTTTAAACAAAAAAAAAATCGTGTAAGTTAAACAAAATACCTTGAAGCCTATACGAGTTAATCTGTTAGCAAATTTACATGGTCAAATTTTATTAAAACTTTTTTTTTCTTAAATACTGTCTTTATAAAACTCCTTAAGATCCGTCCGTTATCAAACCCCTTTAGTTATTCTAAAATATACGGTTTTTTGTGTTTTTAACAAAATTATATATATATAATATATTACATCATATTTAAATTTTAAAATGCAACATATTTTAAAAAACTTTAATAATATTTTTAAAATTGCTCATCTATGGCCAATAAATGTTTTTCCAAATAATGAAAAATACATTTTTTTCATATGGTCCATATGCAAAAGATTACATTTAAACTTTGTCAAATTATGTGCTTTAATTGGTCGGTGATTATACATTTATGTTAAATAGTAGAATAATAATGTCGATTGTTGAGGTTGTTATTTTTTTTTTTATTTCAGGGCACCATACGTGTACCAGCCTCGTGTTTATTAGCCCATAAATTAGCCTACTTTGCTGGTCGGACTTCAGGGAGATTACCTAACGTTGGTTTGGACCTCATCAATTACTTTTTGTAATCCCAGTTACTTTACTACCTGTTTAATATTATAACGTTTTTTATTTATAATTATTCAATTTTTCGTTATTTTATTTGGTCCATTATGTGTTGTTAATATCTAATATTTTATTTTGAAAATTGCTTATACTTGTTTTATGTTATATAAAGAATGTACTTTTTGTATTTTTACAAATATAAAATGAAAATTATAAGATCATAATTTTAGGGCTGTACAAATATTGAATATAATACAAATTTTATATACTTGCAATTGTCATTAACAGGTTTATACCAAAAACATACCTTACAAAGAACTACTTGTACTAATATATTTATTTGTATAGCAGCTGTTATTACTTACTACCTGAGAATGTCGAGGTATTGGATGTATTGACTTAAACTTTAAGTCTTAAAGCATGAACCTATTTTTAAATTATATTTTAATTTACATGTCATTTTTTAATTTATTAACCCTACACAGTAGTTATCAAACACTGTACATACTATGTCAATTTTGTATTAACTAGATTAATGCAAAAAAACACTTATTATACTGCATTTAACTTTGTTAGACAGGTAGTCTAATATTGGGAGTGCTGAATGGAGAAGAGCTGGCAGCACATAGAAAACGTGGAGGAAGATTGTGGTTGCGGCAATGGGCCTTAATGGCCTAAAATAAGCCTTAAACAAAATTATTATAATGCAGTGTTATCTTTAAATGAGATTATTCGATTTTTATTTTTTAATGTTATTTGCCATTTCATTAAATCTGTGCTTAAGAAACAAAATATACATCATAATTAAACCACTTCATGATAGTTAACATCTTCTCAATTCAGCATGTGAGATACCAAAACACAAATCATCTATTATTTTAGCTTGAGAATTAAATGCTCAACAATGTTTTTAAAGCTAATGTAACTGTACACATATTATACAGGAAATATACATGTGTCAATTTCAAATAGGTTTATTAGATATACAATCACAAAAAAAAAAATGATTATATAACATTATCATATCGTCTAATGCGTTACAAAGGTTTCATTTCCTTCGGGAGAAACTATTAAACGAATAAACGAGCCGTCGACTGGACTCAATACGCGTAGTATCTGATCAGTGTAATCATCTAGCATTTCGCCATTGGCTTTGATCCTCTCATACATTAATCCGTGCTCTTTTGCAACTTCTAATTTCGTCAATTTTCGATTAATGTCGGATGCTCTGGCTAGGCCTAAATTTTCAACCTCTTGGCAGAAATAATTTCTCGTATACTCTTCCCGTACCGCGACTTGTTGTTTGCTATTCACATTTATGTCGACCATCATAATGCTTATTGCAGACCAGTAGATGTTTTCGTCAAACCGGAACGCCCTTAAGGCGCGTTTGAGAGGAAAAACAAGCGTATGCCAGATTTGGACCAGTGGTCCTTTCCCCATGAATTGTTGTACGACGCCTCCGTCAAGGGGTCGGTTCAGTAGGTTGTGATAAGTAAACAAGTGAAACCATGCGGCGTATACAATCCTTAAGTGGATGCATTTCGCAATCAGGGCGTTGTACTTGTTACCTCCGATCGGGTCCAATTCCCATGTATTGGACATTTGCTGCGCAAAGTACAAATCAGAGTATTTAAGCAGCTGAATTTTGACGTTTTCCGTTTTGAGTCCGATGTCAAACAAGGACCAGTCAAAAATAATATCTTGATGTACATACAGAGGCATCAGCGTGAGATTCCACACGGTGCAGTGACCTAAGAATCCATAGGGTTCCAGCGCACCGTGTCTGTACAACAAGTTCATACGCGAAGAAACGTTGTCGAGAAGACTGGAAAATGGTGACTTCTCTGAGCTTGGATTGTCTGGATACGATAAATATTCATGTCGGATACATCGGCCTACGAAATTCAACACGGTGCCTCGCATGAGTACGTTGTAATTAGTTGTGAAATGTTGTTTGTATTGTTTTATATCCGTGTCCGAAACCGTGAGACCCGCTACAAAGGTAAAAATTTTGATTTGCCAAGCGTAAGCGTCCCATTTGGCCATGTTTAAAAACGACAACATGTGTGTCAGATAAAAAAGATGATCTATTATGGGCTCTCGAAGGAAGTTTTTTAGCTGCTTAATGTTTGATGATTTTTTGTTGTACATGATTTTTTCCAGCTCGTTCAATACATGCAAAACGAACAGTCCGTTAACACACTGGATGGCTTGCATTTTATGGCGGTACTTTTTGGTGGAAGTTTTTTTATCATTCAAACAGCTCTCGTTAGTGTAGCATTCTTCCGAAAGAAGTCTAATGTCATTGTCGTCAATGTTGACATTATTTTTATCGTCTGACGTGAACATTAAGTTTAACGATTGAACAATACCTGCGTTATAGAGTTCCTCCAAGTACTCCTATTACAATTTTGGTGTTAGCAATTACAACAAATTACATTTTGAATATGTTTAAAAATGTTTAATTTATATTTTATTTTGAAAAATGGTTATTGAGTTAACGCAGTATTTGTATTCATATAATTTGTATAGGATGTTTAAAGAGCTTGAAATCACAACTAGACAAAAACCATTATGGAAATTTTATATATATTTTGGCGCAAAAAACAGTAAAATCAGACTATTACTTACCTAGATATAACAACAGACATTTTCATTCAATAGGATAAAAAAAAATGTTATTGCCTTAGAAAATTGTTAAATGTGGATTTACTGGTAGTTGCTTAAAGCCCTTTCATTATTCAAACAAGAATTTGCATGATTTTTCATACAAAATATTCAGCATTTCAGTTTAAATTTCAGTGATATGTTTTATGAAATTATTATATTAGAATTTAGCCAAGAAAAAATAAAACTAAAACTTTTTTAAACTAAATAATTAGAAATATTTTTCACTGTTCAAGCTAAAAAAAAATATTACTTTAACGTGTACTAACGTATATTGTCATTAATCAGTTGTAAAAAGTGTTAACCAAATGTTTTCTTTACCTCTTGATTGTTGTTGGAACCTGAACTCTAAAAATAAAAACACTATTTAAGAATTTTTGCTCAATAGTAATTATGCCATTAGAGCTATTTGGAGTTACCATTATAAAAAGACTTAAAATTTTTTTTTGAGTGTAAATATATCCAATTATAAGCCGAAAAAAAAACCCCCACGATGGTTAGGAGAATGCGGGGCATCACAGTGTGAAATGCCACGTACACTCATTATCGGTCTTGAGTGCGATAATTTATTTTTGCAGTGCCGAAACGGATATGGTAAGTACGAAAAAAAGATATCAAACAAAGTAGATTTACACCCAAAATGTTACCTACTGCGTCAACAAATTGATGAGAAAAAAAATCAGAGTATGATAAAATAACTAACAACCCAAGAACGTATCACATTTTACAGCGTTATAAAAACATAATATAGTTATCGTATTTACTAAGACGAATTATACAGACATTAGTCGACTATAATATTTACCTCTCCTTGAAAATGTTGGTCAGTTCGTGTTGCCATTACTAAAACTTTAAAACAAGCCAACAAAAACATCATTTTCGTAATCATTTTTCCGTTAACCTTTTATGAAATATAATAATTTGAAACAATTAATAGTGAATTGAAAGTTAGGCACAGCGTTATGCTGAATGCAGTATTTAAAATATGACACTATAAGGTATATTTATTAATATACAATTTGTACTGTTTGTACAGATTGCATTAGTAACAAAATCAATTCAAAAAAAAAATTAGAATAGTGAGCAAAATACTGAAATAGTTATTAAACTGTATATTATTACTTAAAAAAAATATTTTGTTCATTTTTAAGTTTGTATAAGAACCATTTATAGTTGACATTGAGACATATAAGATACTATGTGTTCTCTGGGCTCCTGTATGGGACTCTGAATGATGCTATCACAAAACGAAATTAGAAGCATTTGAGATGAAAAAGATCCTCGAATTCTTTACACTTATCGTCTCGCTTACAGTCCTAAATTAAAAGGCATGTTCAAATACATGGATATATTAAATTTGGACGATATACCGATGATTCTCGACGGTGATCTAAATATCGACTTAAGCTAACCTATCTCGACCACTCGGTTACAGCTTACTTATTTTACTTTATGGGGAGAAAAGAAAAGAAAAGTCAAATTAAGAAAATAATTATTTAAGCAGGCGGTTTCCCAGCAGCAAGCATATAAGTAATGTACCTGTACTGGAGCTGGAACGGGAGATGGGGTGATCCTTCTTCGGGAAACCAATTAAAATGTAAAGCGTTTTCGCGGTCACCCCGTATAATACTTTCCAGATCTAAAAACCTAAAAGACTTGCCTCAAGTTATTTTGTTAACTGTTGGTCAATCTGTACTCTTTGGACGTTTTTATTTTAAGCACTGCTGGGCAAAATTCTTTTCCAGAGATTGACCACTAGACATTTTATTCATGTTTTTTACTCTTGTGTTACTATGAAATCGCGATAGGACACACTAACATATCATTGTTCTACATTTTTGAACTTCTGATAAACAACCAGACCTTAAGTATACACCTTTAATGCTTCATGCCTCTGATGATTAATACTTAAACGTACAGATACTGGCAACGATGGTAGTTTCTGAACAGATTAGGATTCTTATTCGACACATATCAAGTCTAGACATATTATATACTAGGTACGTTTGAAAAATTTAAAAAGAAATTTTATTAACAAAAAATATAGTATACAATTTTACGTACAAGTATTAAACATAAATAGAAATATTAAACATTACATCCATTTCTTTAATAATTTAATAATATCTTCAATTTCACTCAAAGCACCAGTCGTACGATAAAGAGTATATATAATGAAACCCAATAATAACAATTCAAACAGATATAGAATCAACTCAGCGGTTTCCGTTGATTTTTGGTCATTTCTATTCGGGTTCTTCTCGAATAGTTCTAGTTCATCTTTTTTTTTGTCGACTACTGACCTTCCTTCTTTGATACAATTGTACTCCTGCCGCGGCTTCTTGACGGTCCGGTATTGTCTCTCCGGAACCCAACAGACAGCAGTGGTCGGCCCCTTGAATTTCGTCCAGTCGATTTTCACCGGCGCTGATGAAATGTTCCTGAAATTTCCATACGGGTTTTTGTTGAAAGTTAAAAACGCCGATTTCTCCACATCGGGCACACGTTTAAAGATTGCCGCCCACGGAAACTGAACCAATCGTTTGGACATTTTTTTGTAAATACGTTTACACGGCTTATAGCGAAATCAAATACTGCAACGAACAAAATTTGATAAAAAAAAAAAATGTCTATTAGCAAGTACGCGAATAGTATTTCAAAATCGTATAAATTAGATACTGTATAAGCCGAACAATTAAACAAACCGGTGCGGCAACGAATAAACGAATATTTGTGTTACAAAACGCGAATTTCATATAAACTTTTTGTCAACACATTCATTTGATTGAATATTCTTCACTTTCACACGGATGCAGCAATTCTTTATGTTGTGCCACAGCAATATCATCGATGAGGCTATCGTTGGGATAATAGGAGACGCAGTGTTACCGGGTAAGGGGGAAAAATTCCTCAACCTGGAGAATTTTTAGACAGTTTTATTCAGAAATTATAATTTAACTTAAGTTATACTTGGAAAAGTCGTAAATACCAAAAAAAAAAAATTGATATTAATAAATGATAACATTTGAAAATTAAAATACTTAGAATCACTTTGGATTTTGGATTTTACCCTTTATCACTTTTTTGGCTTAATCACGATTTATGCTTGTTTTTAGGGCGGTTAACAATATTATTGTTCAACATAAGAAAAACTTCTAATGAAATGTGTTGAAAAATCGATTGGGACCAAAGAGTGTGTTTAATTTAATATGTAAGCCAAGCAGTTTAAAATGTAATCACAATACATACCCTGATTACAATTAATATTAGCGATTAATACTTCAACTAGGTAGATACCCATATCGTACATGACAATCGAGCAAACATGAACAAAGCATTATAAGTATAATGTTTAAATGCACTTTCAACTGGTAAACATATTACCTGGTACATTAATTTTTTAAGAAACCAAGAATACGAGTAACTGTTACACTACCGTGTGATGTGCTCTGAAAATGCACTTTAATTATTCATATGATTAACAGCAATTAGCTTATAATCATTTATGCAATATTGATTAATGATAAGTATTAAACAGTTAACAATTTTTATTAAATATTTACAATTTATAAATATTATGCCAATAAAAAAGTTTTGAAACTTTATAATAGTCTTAAAAATTTGGAAAAGTCGTCGTTAGTAACGATAATTAATGCATTGATGAGGTTTAAATTAAAATCTTTAAATATTAATAACTCACCAACGCATTATACTAATTACAATTTTTTTTTGGCGAATTTTTAATTTTTTTGGTTTTTAACCATAGTAAAAAAAAAATACATATCATCCTATTTTAAAATCAAATGTGTTCATAATAAGGAAAAATATGGCTCTGCGCTAGTTTGAGAAATCAACTTTATAATGTATACATAATATATAAAGTATTATGAGTGTATAATGCTGGTAATAAATATAATATTTTTATGAACTATGGCCAACACAGGGTAAGAGTGAAAGGTATATCTTCAATTCTAGTTCTTTACCCATCACTATCTCTATGATTTTTGCTCTCCTTAAAGCTGGCTGTATATTTTACTAAATTTTTATACTTTCATTGTAAAAAGTGTTAAACTCTAAGACATTTTTAAATCAATTACACTACGGCATGTTGGGTCTATATTGTAAGAAAATAATTCATTTCAGTAAATAATACATTTTATTTATGTGACGTTTGTGATTTTCAGACAGTGAAAATATATTATGTTTGATAAATTCCCTAAAATTTAAGTGACTTCACGATTTATACCGGCCTTCATAGGAAATCCATTTATTAACATGTTAACTTGTGTGGCGTGGCAAGAATATGAACGCCGAGGGTTGCCTTAAGGGATTTCTTGTAACAGAAACACTCCTTCTTTCTCCCCATTATTGATACAAACAACCGAAATCCATCGGACATTCGGCGTTAAATGAATGCTAATAATAATAAAAAACAAAGTATGGAGATCTGGTAACAAAAAAAAAATTATTTAAAAGTAACTGTTATAATAGTATTATCAAATACCAACACATTCGGACTGGATTCAAAACAGTCGGTGGTGCCCGTCTAATTTTATGGTATGACATTTTAACCGGCCAGAGAGCGTGACTAGTAACAATGTTGATGGATATTATATTAATATCATTTATAAAATATAATACGTTGTTATATGATAACTATGTATCGTTTTTGGCCATCTAGTCGAGCCAACCGTTTTACCTACAGGCGTGCATTACCGCGTTTATTTTTTGAGTTATCGATGGCGTGAGACCAGCGATTAGCATAGGCACGGCCCTTACCGCCCCTTCAGATCCTCCCCACAAAAATGTACCGTGTAATTAACCCGCATTGATATTCCCAAATCCCAATGCAAATAACTATTATCGTTATGTGCCCATAAAATATGTGTCGCGACATTATTTTATTTAAAATGCTGTCAATAAACTACTGCGGATCATTAGGCAGTTATTCGTTAAACAATTGCCCAATACAGTTTAATATCACTACTATTGCCTTGTCGACTAGGACTTTGTAGATTGTAGCCGTTGTACGGAAGTGGTGGTTTTCACTTAATAAGTGTGTCCACCGTCAATAATGGTAGACCAAACATCTCCGACACAATCAGTACACACCGAAACGTTTGACAGTGATTGATTTACTCACAAACTTAGTCTTGACCGCCGGAACTTTCTTAACTTCATTTAAACATACCGTGTAGATTGCAACTGAAAACAGTAACTGTAGATTTCAACTGAAGTTAATGAAAAAGTTGAGATGATTTTAATGCGGAACATAGTATGAAAGTATACTTAAAGGGCAGAAATTAGTGCATGACTACATAATTTGGTTGGCGTTTAATATCTTAAGTTCAGGAAAAATTCAAAATATTACTGATTATTAGTTGTGTTGATTTCACGGTAAATTTTAAATGATTTAACAACTTGTTCCTTCGACCGGCGGCGGCCGGGCCTGTTTATGGCTGCAGCATCTCATCACAAGCCAATTTAAACAAGTATCGCACGGCGGTTTTAAAAATAAAGGACCTAATAAAAACGGGATCCAATATTTAGATTATTGTAAATGAAAAACAAAATTTTATTCTTATAAAAATTATAAAACGTAAAAAATATTCCCTTAAATTTGTGTGCACGAACGACGAAACAACATGTCTACAATTTTGTTACACTTCAGTTTTTGGAATTTAATATTCTCTCCGTTGCACTAAAATCACACTTTTGTTTGTCTTACACGGAAACCCGCGATCTTCAAAGATAAACACCGCCCGTTATATTGAAACAATAATTTCATTAAACTGATGTAAATGTTAAAAGTATACCACCGCGGTGCTCGACGCAAGAATATCGCTCGTTTCTTCCACAAATAATACATAAATTATAATAATGACTTTACCTGGTTAGTGCCTACAATGTTGATGGCAAACAAATGATTAGCATCATAAAATGCAATAATTGCTCTGCCTTCAAAACCTCAATTAAACCTCTTGATAAATACTTCCCAGCAACTTGTCAATGATTAATAGTCGTGATATCAATAAATTAAAATTAAAATTTATTTGTTTTGGCACTATATATTAATTTTATTCACTGGCAAATCATCCACAAAATACACAGTGCTTATGGTAATCAGACCGAGGCAACTTTTGTTTCGGTAACAATTATTTAAAGCGATACTTTATTATTAATAGTATTTATTTAGTTTTATTAAGTATTTATATATTATAGTCAAGCGGAGTAATAATTGTAAACGAACGGGACAAATGTAAATTCAATTGTTTTTTTTTTATAGAAAAAACAAACAGTATTCTCATTATACTTAATTACCTCTGTAGTATATTTTTAATATCTTATAATTAAAAGTAAGAAGACAAAACTGAAAACTGTCGTTTACTTTATTCAAAAAATATTCAATACATTTGCCCCATACGTTTACAATTATTACCCCAGTTGATCATATTTAATTATTTATACTATTGCATATAGTTTTACATTTTTATAACTAGTAGTTGTATTAATTATTCGGAACCAATTTTTTTTATTTAGATCGTGAGCTAATTTTTTATTTAAAATATATTTTAATTTAATATATCACCAAAAAAAAATATATATATATCATAATATGGAACTTATTAAATTTTATTTGATTACATTATATAATTTATGTTAATTGTATTCAAATATTTTGTTAATATCAACATGTTTTTAACACTCCCATGTTGTCTTTATTTTATATGAACTATGAAGTCACTTGTGTCCACCATGTCATAAATGTATCCTAATACTGTTTTTAACTTAAAACATTACCAACATTAATAAGCAGCTAACTGACAAATTTCTGAAAAATTATCTGTTATATATTTTCAAATATGTAAATACAAAGTTGTTTGATTTTAGTATTTAACTTTACATTTGTAATTCATTAAAACTTCTGGTATAGTTTTAATTTTTTCTAAACATGTACTTTTCAGCTGTAATTTTAATACAAGTTTTTGTGTAAAAATGATTTTTGAATTTGTATTTAAAATGCCCAAAATATTAGTGATAAAAAATTTACTAACAATGTTTTTAACAATATTTAGTAAACTTGTGGTTTATTTTATTGATGATAATGTTATAGTAAAAAAATACACAAAATAATAATATTAATTTAAAAAAGTGTAATTTGACGTTTAAATAATTAAATAATTTACATTTACTTAGTTTACATAATTTTGTATTTTTTTTTTTTTTTATTAATACCCTTGTATTTAATCTATGGTGCGAGTTTTGTTCGTTTAACTATTTAAATGACCTTTTTATGACAAAGTTCCAAAACTGTTCCGGCCTCTGCTTATTATTAATAAGTTTCTAACAACCGATTGAGAGTATTCATCCTTGTCATAGAAGATCCTCATTTTAACTATAAATAATAAATTGCCCAGTAAAAGTTTGTGTTTTTGTGCAAATTTTCTTGAGTTGAGTTAGAAACACAATTAGGTGTACAATTACAGTAAAATTGAATAATACCATTCAGTTGTTTCTTCCATAACATTAACATATCATTGGTATAAAGAAAAAGTTACACGGTAGTATATAAATAAAAACAACACAATATGATACGCATTGGGTTATATTTCAAAACTTTCAAGTGATAAAGACGGTTTCAAGGAAAAATAATCATTATAGTATACTTTTGTAATAATAATATTATATAGCTAGTAAATCCTACTTTTATATAATAATAATAACATAATTGGCTACAATGCTACTTATTATAATATGTCTATAGACGACCTAAAGTGTACATAAACGACACGCTAATTATTAATTTTTACTATCATTTTATTATATCTAGCAAACTACAATGCTAAAAAAGTAGATAAAATTATTTAAGCCGCATCTCGCTTCATATCTGTTGGTCAACATCCACCAACTAAACAATATAATTTTTACAATCAACCGACATCATCGTTTATATCATACTACTGCTATATTTGAAGTCAACGGATGAAAACTTAACAGATACGGCGAAACACTCTAAAGACATAAGCGATTATAATATTATAATAATTTTATGATATTAAGACTACAAAAAAAAAAAAGAAGCTTAACACTAATATCGATGTGTCTAATACAATAATTTTATCATAATGATAATGGTTAATATGAAATTCTTAAATATATTTCAAAAGTAATTATTCATAATAATAATAGATTTTGTAAAATAAAAAAAAAAACATACATTTATATTTTATTACAATGTATACCGATAATGGAATTTTAACGTTTTAAGTACACATTGTTGAGAAATACATTTTATTTATTTTTTCGGGATATAAATTTTAACTGTCCACCGACAAAGACAAGATGATTGTACAACAATAGGCGCTATTCCACGGCAGTGCGTTGTGTGTGACTTGGCAATTCTTTCACATCGGTTTGATACGAATCGAGTACACCAATTTCGATATAATTTTGGCGGGCACCACTACGCGAATACAACAATGAGATAGTTATATCTTGGGTGGAATCAATCCATCTGTGTTTGGATTATTGGAAATTTCGTGGAGTTTTTTAAAACGGCAATTGCCCGCGAGCCGACGGAACGAATTTAGCCAACTGCTCGTTTGCAATATCAACGTTCGGCGCAAAATCATCCACGATAGTGTATCCCGCCGGGACGTCATCCCTTATTACCCTAAACGCCGTGAATTACTCGGGCTTTACAAGCGTGCCAGACGTAATGTGCTCGGATTGAAGGAAGCCAAAGGCACGGGGCCTCGAGAAAAGTTTTGTCGGCCGTGTGGTTTCCACGAACAAAAATTAAAGAACGCGAAGTGACAGCAAAATAACGCACGCATAGAGGGAACGCGCGCGATTGGGTCGGGGGTGGAAAAAAAAATTAACTCCCGTCACGTGCCGATCGCTTCTTTTCCGCAAACTTTTTCCATCTTCAGTCGGACTCGCGCGAGTAAATATTTCACCGTTAACCCGGGGGGGGGGGGTCGCCGTATGCGCGCTGAGGATTCGAAAATTCGACGTCCGATAATATTGGAATGCACATATGCACACAGTGGAAAACGGTGTTGCGAATTTCTTTTGGTAGCAGAGCGCGGTTGATATCAATTAGTCCGTCATAACCGTCATCGCAAACGTCGGCGGTAAATGGCGTTTAGCCTGTGGCAAAATGGATGTGTTCCCAAAGCGAAGCGACGATGCGATTCCCAACACTGGCGGTTACAACTTAATTACCTGTCGGCACGGCACCGGCATTTGTTTGGGGCCTCGAGTTACAAACAATACCTACGCGGGCGTAACGTTTTGCAGTAGCCAAACGAAGCCGTCGCTGCACGGACACCTCTTTTTCATCATTTTTTTGCTTTTATTCCTATGCTCGGACCTTTTTTCACACAATGCGATCGGCCACGCCACATAAGTCAGTATCTCTCTCTCTCGTTTGTGTGTACCGTGAGTCCCGGTGCCGTTTGTCACGGGTCCGCCAAAAAGTCTTGACCCAATATTCTTATTGCGCCCGCCCGACAGCATAACAAGTGTGACACCGGATCAAATGTCGCCGAAAAAACTATTAAGAAATCGCCTGCGTGGGCGCGACAATGGAACTGTACCGAGTAGACGAATGAAAATAATATGGTGGCCGATGAAAAGAGTTACCCGGACGAGTCTAACCGTAGGTGCACTACCTACTCCGTTGTCGGTCAATGGTTGAAAGTTGAAATTCTCATCCCGTGAAAAATGTCTATTTTTTTTTTACCGTCGCGTTATCACATTTTTGACAGTTGTCGTTTATAACCGAAACAATCGAATACAACACTTGTCGTATTGTACGCGGTAGTATTGATTTCTATAATATAATTTAATCAGTAGCGATTTTCGCGTAGAAACAAACGGGCATCGATGAAACGATCGAAACGTTTTAAAGTTACAACGAGTCGTATACAATGGCCGCTTTGTAGAGCGCTTAAGTATAGTGAGGCAAAGTGGATACAACCGACCTACGGTTGCAGGTCGAACGAAATACGAGTATAATAATAATAATAATAATAATATATTATGATAATACTTGCGTTTACCTTTGCGAGTATCGCGTGCTTAGGTGTTGAGTTAGATCGATTGGCGCAATTAGAATAGGTACGCGATTAACGAGAACGCCAACTAACCGTTTGTCACCGTCGTTTCGCATAGTAATATTTTCACCACGCCAATCGCCTTAGCGCGGACCGAGGCAAGGGTGGGTAATTTTATTTCCCGAGGAAAAGGGTCGGCATTTATTATTATTATTATTATTATTACTTCGTAACTAGCGGATGGTGGGGGGGGGGGGATTAACCAAAAGAAAAATATAAAAAAAAACCGTTTCAAACGTTAGACAAGAATAAAGAGGTAATAATTGCGAATAAAATGTTTTATGTATACTTATTATCATTACTGTTTTACTCGGGCCTAAAAGAGATGGAAAATGTTCAAGTGAAACCGTTTTTAGTAAACTAGTATTAAACTGTCGATATTCCGTCGGAGCGTTTGCGTTTAAACTTGCCACTATCGAGCATGACGGTAGGAAGGAAGATAATATATTGAATGAACTATTGGAGTTGTGCACATAGATTGGCTCTTTTAGACCCAAGGTTAATATTCAAGATGAACAAACGGACTATTTTCGTCAAATACACATATATTGTTTTATAAGAAGCCTGAAATATCTTTAATAAGTATAGAATATAGATATAATACCAAAAAGAGCCTACGACGGCCGTTTGAGACGAACCGGAAGAAACTCATCGTCGGGACTACAAGTCAACCGGTCAAATATTATAAGATGCACTTCTCTACGAAATCTCAACAAAAATACATTTCCTGGACACTCTCTACTACTTTTCAGTCTTTGAATCGGAACGCCCGAAACACGAGGCCAACCTCCAACTTGTTTTCCCTTCACGCCTTAAGTAAATGTTATTGGCGGCACGACACTCGGTGCTAAATTCTATAACAATATAATACAATAATTATATCTCATATAATTTCTTTACGTCATCCTTCGTACACTTCTTAAATAGGTACACATATGATTTAATAAAAAAAAAAAAAACTTAAAAATCACACGCGTCTTATATATGGTAACAAACCGGGTAAACGTATAGTCAACAGCGTTTTTTTAAAAACAAAAAAAAACATTAACAACCTTTAGTCTTAACAATAGAATAATAGTTATTAGCAAAGTAATAGTAATTATAAAATAATCATATTGACTACTAATTGGGACAAAAAAAAAACATTAGATAACATATATTAATAGAGTGAATCAAGACGAGTTTCGACTTTGACCACATACTATTATAATATGTTATATATAAAGATTATAGATATCGGCTTAAGTATAGTAAATAATATCGTATAATAGCGACGATGTTGGATCGCATGTTATTGTTGTAAAACGATTATATTAGTGTTACAGAGTAGATATATCATTAAAACTTAATGTCTATGTATAATACTATTCGTTGTTATTTATTAAATCGTGTAATATATTTAATTTTAATAGTAGACTTATAAATGATAATAATATTATTATTGTATTTAAGTAGCTTTTTTTTATAAGTATTTTAATAATACGTCAGATATTATTGTGACTTTAATGAATAAGATAATTTGACAACTTCGAACGGCTGTCTTAATAATTATATTTTTGAATAGAACGATATCGATAGAAAACACTGGCAAGACCGAAATTAATAATAATATTCTTTACTGTGAACGAATGAGTGAAATTTGGAAAGTTAAAAGTTAAGATACTAGGTATTGACTCTGAACAACTCGGAAATATATTATACCCAAGCGGAAAACTATGAATGATTTTGGAAAACTTGAATACTCAAAAATCATAAGGAAATACCTCTTGGTATTGCTTTATTAATCCTACGGGCTGTTATCTGGGGTAGTTTGCGTTAGTTGTACTACAGGGTTGAGAATATAATATTATTTAGATTTGAAAGTGCCAGGATTGATTATGGGAACTCTTAAAGGGACTGAAACGGTATTGGTATGGCGTTACACTAGTCCAATCTAAGCGAGGTACCTACACTTTTTGGTTTTTTTTTTTTTAGTATGATAACAGACTATTAGCACTAGTACTACGAGGACTATAGTTTTTTAATTGAAGCGATAGTAGCTACAGGGTAGGTTGAAAATTGTGCTTCTTTAGTTGAAGATAATGTTGAAGATCCAGTAGATGGTGATGGCGCTGAAAATCATCATGGGCGGGTAGGTCTGGTCGGCAGCGTTCGGGTCTGAAATCAAAAAAAAAAAAAAACGGTGATAAATAAAATAACATATTTTATTGTATCAAATAGCTTTTAAGAGTCAGGCATATTTTTTGAAAATATATATAAATGTAAACTCCACAGATGTGTGGCGTGGATCTAACAGTGATTTCCCAAAACTGGTCGTCGACCAGTCAACATTTTCAGCAAAATCATTATAAATTTAAAAAGTCAATTAAATAAAAATAGGTCACAATTTTGGGTTTTAAAAAGAGCTCTGGAAAAAATATAATAACCACTGGTCAACGCCGGTCGTTGTCCATTTTCGGTTAATTAGCTTAACCCCCCCCCACCCCCTCCCCAATGTGTATCGGTATGGGCAGTCTTATCAGGTCTGGTAATACACTTTCTCCGCTACTCCGCCCATTTATTTATTTTGCCTAATGTCCACGGGTCACGAAATAGTGTTATTGCGCGTACGACCGGGCGAATAATTTATTTTTACTAATTAGCTGAACCCGATTAAGAAATAAAATAACGATAATAATTCTTCGGTAATGTATTATTCGAGTTCTCGGTAGACGTTGGATCCGGTGCAAGTACACTGTATAATATTAACGTTTATCCGCTTAACAAACGAAAACCATTGTTGATGTTATCGCTATTCGAGGGATAATTGTGTTTTTTTTTCTTTAACGATTACCATTTATTATACCAATGCCGTCGAATCGGCATTAACAGTATATTAACATAATGTTATTTTGTGTGTTAATAACTGTTATAATTAAAAAAAAAAAATGATATTTTATATCCAAATAATCTTCGGTGGAAATTTCAAAACCCAAAAAAATGTCTCCTCTCTTGTTCTGTAAAAATGATGTTAGGTAGGTAGGTACTTGTACAACACTTGTCTTTATTATTATTATTCGGTGGCCTAATAAATGCGATTATTTTATTAATGATTAACAAATCAACTCGACGACGAACCGACGACCGTCGTCGCGCATAACGAACACCGGGCAGAGCAAATGAATGACAGTAGTCATTATACTTTGAGACATTGTGTGCAATTAGCGACTTGCGCCAACAACGTAGGTACCCGATACGGGTTTTCTTTATCATCAAACACGACTCGTCCGTTCTTACCGAGGAGGAGGAGCCTTGGAAACTTAATGACAATGCAAGCTGAATGACAATGGAGAGGTTCTAATAATGAGAGTCGTGCCGAGCCCCGAGTAAACATAAGACCACGTAAGTTTCACCGTGTGCGATTATTATTATTATTGTTATTGAAGGGACCGCTTGACAAGTATTTGTCACCGGCATGAGAAAACACAACATCCGCCACCGCCGCCGATAAAATATAATCACCGAGACAAAAGAAAATAATAACGCCTATAGGAAACAATATGAATAATAATTATCATTACCGTCGACTTAGCCCAGTCGGCGGAGCCCCGCGGGTAAAATGCAGTGTAGGGTGTCTACTCGCTTGTGAAGAGGCCAAAGGACAAACGGATGTCGCACTGAAACCCGACAACAAGGTACAAGTTTAAAATAGATAAAAAGAAATAATGATCGTCCTCTCCTTCGACGGCCATATTAAATACCATCTGAATAAACCTATCTGCTCAACCTACAGAGGATTTTCCATATAGGTACCGGTACTCAACACAGACATTGACTTTGCACTCGACTACTTGGTGGCCTTTAAAGTTCGTGTCGTGAACGTAATTTGTAATTAACTATTCCTTGTCTGAATTCATTAAAATATATTAAGCTTTTGATGTAACCATTCGTCGTACGTAAAGCGTTTGGTTAATACTTAATAGGGGTTTTTATTTTAAAACGCCTGATAGCACATATGTTACACTATATTGTACAAACTACTTACCAATTAAAAGATATATCTCACTATATTATCACAGATTAGATCATTTATTTATCTAATCTAATCTGTGTTATTATTATACAATTTTATGCTTAAATCTGTGGTCACTCTGATTTCAGATGAGCCATCTATTTTTATGTGTAGTCTACTACTTAGTGAAAACATACATTGACAATAATTATTTTTAATTTTTACCTGAAATTTGGACAGAATAAAACAATAGGGTTTTTCGTACTACTAACTCATGTCAATATGTTTAACACCAAATTTTATTTCTACTTTCATTCGCCTTTAAACAAATATAATATACAACTTTTAAAATGTATGTCGTGCACAAGCCGATACTATAATAATTAATGTAAGAAACTGTAATTTAGAAAGTGGGCACAGACAAAGTATTCGAGACAAAATGCAAAAAATCAAATTAAGAAATATGACACCGGTGTAATTATATTTCAATTAATTTCAAATCTTTAATACATTTGAAAACCCTTACATGACTTGTGCATTCATTTTTGTTTTTATTTGTAGCATTTTTTTAGTTTTTATTACTTACTTTAGAAAATGTATAAAACAGTTAAGACTATTTGAAAAAAATTTAGTGAGCGATATTGCAATAATGTAATACTTATGGTAACCCTTGTATTTACGTTATTAATGTTGAGAGAGCTAATACAAAATATAGTATCTTTTACCCAACACAAGTCGAAACACAAAAAGCTCAACCGGAAAGTCAGGTTGAGTGCGAGCTAGACAATGGTTTTTGTGGAATATTTTGACTTGTTCACGTTTAACAGCCAACTCGACCGTGGACCATACTTAGATGGGCGCCACCGAAATTACAGTGTACTCTGATGGATCCGATTCGACCGCAGACCTTTTGCCCGGGGACACTTTTGGAACGTTCCTGCCGCTCCAGACACTCCAAGCTCGACCGCAGCCACATCGATGGGTTTCATACATTATTTATGGGTGGCAATTTTTCTTGTTTTTTTTTCACCCTTCGCTTCGCCGGTTAGTCGCGATTAAGTAAATGGCACGAGATCGATTTGTCAACAGCGTCGACAATAGGGGCAAGACAGTATCGATCACCCCGGTTTGGCGTGTACGAGCGGCGGCGAGAAATAAACTACACTGCACGCAGAGTGTATTATTATTGTGGACGGGGGTGGATCCAAAATGACAGACCTAACCGTCGAGCGAGTGAGTTAAAGGGCGAAAAGAACACCCTTCGGAGAGTAGTATATCATTATTGTATAAATATTATTGAAAAATTATTGCCGAATAATCAATACTGTACAATGTATTTGTGGCCGAGATGAAGATCTACACTCTAGAGCCATACGTCTTAAGCCGCAACAAGCCATTAAACGCTGTTCTTACAGAGGGCGAGGAAATAGCAAAAAAAAATCGTTTGACCAGGTCAGACTATACATAGTTGTATACATACTTAACACGATATGAGAATGTATGATTCAATTTACTAGGTCCGATCTGATAGCGTGGCCGTTTTAAATCAAACTGGTTTAAAACGACCGGGCTCGGCTCGAGCTCAGATTGTATTTATGTGGACTCGTGAGTAGTATATATTTTTTTTTATCTTTTCTAGATTACACCGTTAAGCGATTAAATGGAAGAGTAACGGTTATGGCAATGTAAAGGACAACGCGGCCGAGGCGACACTATTATAGCCCTAGACGTCGGGTAAAATTCTAAGCTGGAAAAAAGCGCAGGTACTAGTTTTGACCAAATACAATATAGTATACAACACTGAGGGCGTGTAAAAAAATATAAAAATAAAAATAGCCGAGCATTTAACAGATAAGCCGGTAGTAAAATACATTATACCGTAAACGGAACAACTACACAAACGAAAAAGGCGTTGGGTTGCCGCCGATAAACCAATGGCAATTATTATTATTGAACTTTGTGACATTTATTTTGCACATTTTTTTTTTTTACAATTTCAGCGTCAAGATAATACAACACAATCGGCATTGAATGTTTTAGTGAGAAAAATTACTGTAAAAAATTGATCACTCTATATTTATTTAGGACGGCGTTAAGGTTATGCAAAATCGGTACACTCGAGTCAAGAAGACCCGACCGGACGGAATTTCTTAAGCTCTTAAGGATAATAATATTATTTTGAGTAATTATTTAATTTAAACGTAATCGTTTTTATGATAAATAATAATGTTTAAATAATATTATAATTATTATCTGTACTAAAATTAATTAATATGCAACACTGTACTTTTGACATGTAAATCAAACAGCAATCATGGTTAAAATGTTTTTTTTTTACTTCTCAACTTTAAGTTTTTCGTTTATTGAATTTAAAATCGAGTTGCATGTAAGCCAACTAAATACCCTATTGCCATTACATGAAAATAAGTCGACATAAAATTATATTTTTTTTGCCTCCAATATTGCCTCTTTTTATGCATAATCAAACACAGGGCACCTTATAAGACTTCATTGTATTAGATTTTGTAATGCAATTTTTATTAACTAAACCTGTTACGTGCAGAATTATATGGAATTTTCAAACACAAAGAGTACAACATTTATTTATGTACGTTTACTAAGAACACAAAAAAAATCTTAGCTGTTGTTAGTGTAAACTAGTGAAGAAGGGAGAAAGGTAGAAATTAAGAATAACATTGTGTAATGCAGCTGCGAAAAGTCCAGAAGTGAGTAACGGGAAACCACTTGAGCACTGCTGTTATATTTTAGTTTGCTGGTAGCAGAAAGCGTGTGTTTCTAGGAAAACAATGGCTCGACATTTCAAAAATGTACACTTACATTAGCAAGCCAACAGACTGGCGTTATGAGTATGAAATATTTCAAACTTGACATTGTCCACATTCCACTTGAGTTGTTTTGATAAAATAATAAAAAATATTTATAAATACAATTATAAATTGCAAAAAATGTTATGATAGTAGTATCCATTAGGTCATATGAATCTTTTAATGATTTCCCAGACTTATGTAGAGGCCAAAGGGATAATATTTTTTAATTTTTGGATATTTACAGCAAATACGCAACTGTTGATAAAGTATTTAGTTTCATTTCATTTTTGTTAGCTATTTGTTTTGTACAAAACAACCCGTACGTGGAAACCAACCAT